ATGACAGGATCAACCTAATTGCCACAATACTTACAATACTTTACTGCTCAGAACAGATTTTTGTCCAGTAACAAAGCAAAACAAAACCCAACAAATCTCAAACTCTCTGGTTTGAACGGAAAAGAAGGTATGAGTTCATTTGTTTACATTAACTAAGACAGTGCAAATGTTTCATTGTGGTTCATTTAACTTTGGCCACAACATAAAATTAATCCAGAAAACCTTAATCTGGGAATGGAAAGTATATCAATTTATGCTAAATCAAATTCATCATAGTTTTAATTCTGATCACTCATTCCACACCATTTACTCTGTGTTTGGTCCAATACCTTCCTTTTACCAACATTTGGCTTTTATGAAAATATGTACAAGACAGGCCTTCAGTTAACACTATCTGTTGGATTAAGATATTTTTTTCAGGTAAAGTTACCACGTTCACATCAAACATATAAAGATTTAACATAGAACAGTTAACATAGGACTTGCTTGCCATCAGTAACTTCTGTAGGCCTCCTCGGGTGTATCCAGCTTTCAGAACTTACACTGTTCTGCCACCAAAAGCTTGTTATTAACAGAAGTATACTGTTCTCCCTTGAAAGTTATTAAAATGCCTGAGACAGATTGACTTCTAGCAGCACCATGTTCACAAAAGTAAGCAGAATTACTCTTGCTTTATTGAAATATACAGAATTCTGAAGAGCAGTATTCGTCTTAAGTGATCATGGGAATACTGGTGGGTAGAAGCTCACTTTAGACAATAAGATAAAAGGTAGTATCTCTCAGAGCAACATCTTACTGTCCTTAAATAAGATTACTCTTTTAAACCTGCAAGGACTTCAAGGAAGGTACTATTTTAGTCTAACATTTCTGTTGGTATATATTTTAGATCTGCTGCTCATGCATTGAAACAAGGCATCCTGAATTATATTAAAAGCAATTTCATGACACATCACTTGATTTTTATTTATCAGGCATGCCTCATTATTTTTTTGAAATTGTTTTATGTAATTTTTATTGATATTTTTTCTTCCTACAATAAAATGCTGTAAAAAGAACAGTTCTGTTCATTGTTTAAAGGGAAAACATGATTCACAATGCAGTTTTGAAAAGGTATGATTAAATGAAGGAATAACGGAATGAAGAAAAGAATAAGTGCCACTGACTTCCTCCAGGTATTCCACAAGTATTAACAGTATTTAAATGGAATCATCATATATAATGGAAAGCAATGTAGTCTTGAAGAATATATCCAAAAAGCACTTCTTTTATGGTGAGTTAAGGAAATGGGAAATGCCAAGGGAGAGCAGAGTTCATTCCTGGGCTTGCTCTTCCCCTCCTCCTGACAGTGCAACCCAAACTTGCCCACCTCTCCTTTCATTCTACACAGTAAAAAGGGGTAGTACCTGACATTTTGCAAACCACTTAATCCCAAAGAGTTTTCAACTGCTTCAGAACAGTGCCAGCTTCCCCACTGTGCTTTCTGACTTTTAGAGCACCAGACCAAATTGCTGTGTAAATCCATATTAAGAATTCTGCAACATTTGGTAGAAGATGTTCAGCTGGGTTAGTCCCACACACAACAGCACACAGAAAGTCAGAAAACCACCACTCATCTCCCCAACATATAGGACATTCAAAGACAGATGCTACATATTAACATAGCAAACATTTAATGAAACTAGACTGTTCTTCTGTCAACTGTTTTCCTCGCACATTGCTACATATTCCTTCAAAGCCAGACTTTTAATTTTCATAACATATTTGGGAGATACACTATAGTCACTTTTTTTCCAAAAGCAGTGTCCTGTGTTTGAGTGAGTGGTGGGGTTTTTTGGTAGCAGAGGAGGGGGCTATAAGGGTGGCCCCTGTGAGAAGCTTCTTGAAGCTCCCCCGGCTCCAAGTCAGCTCCATCTCTGCCCAAAAACGGAGCCAATCAGCTGCACCTCTGTGATAACATATTTAAGAAGGGATGTGGTGACGACCAGTGGGACTTGTGAGGAGGAGTTGCAGCAGCTGTGTGAACACCAAGGTCAGTGGAGGAACGGAGGAAGAAAGGAGGGGGGAGGTGTGCCGGAGCAGAGACCCCCCTGTATCCTGCGGGGAGACGGCAGGGCGGCCCCCCCTGCCACCCATGGAGATCTACGGTGGAGCAGACACTGATTTATGGCCTGTGTTTTGCATAGATGACCAAAGTGACTGTGCCCGAAGAAGGCCGAGGTCTCGTGAGAAAAGGTAGCCCCCGCTGTTGTAATTCAGCGCTGGGAGGATTGCAGCATGTGGGGGTGTCCCACGCCGGAGCAGCTCGGGCAGGGCTGCAGCCGTGGGAGGGAATCCAGCTGGAGAAAGTTAGTGACCCATGCCGGAGCAGTGTAAGGAAACACTGCGGCCCGTGAGAGGGACTGATGTCAGAGAAAGTTTGTGGAGGACTGTCTCCTGTGAGAGGGGGACCACACTGGAACAGGAGGAAGAAGTTCCAGAAGCTTCCCCCACCAAAGATGGAAGAAGTGGCAGCATTGACTGCACCCCCCATTCCCTGCCCCTGCGCCACTGGGGGAGGAGGTAGAGATATCGGGAGCAGAGCTGAGCCCGGGAAGAAGGGAGGGGTGGGGGGAAGGTGTTCTCAAGATGTGGCAATGCTTCTCACTGTCCTACTCTGTTACATGTTGTTAGTGTCTGTAATAAATGCATGTTCTTTTTTTCTTCCCCTAACGAGTCTGCCTCTTGCTTGTGACCATAAAGGGGGATTTTTCCCCATCCCAGTCCTATCTCAAACCCCAAGTCTGGCTCTCTGTCCCTTCTTATTGCAGGAAGAGAAGGGGGAGAGAGTGGCTGTGTGATGGTTGGCTGCTGACCAGGCTCAAACCATGACAAGCAGTCTGAAAGCATACTCAAAATTCCTCACTATGACCTATTAAATACTTACACTTACAGCTGTCTGTCAAATTTTCATAGCTGAGATACTCTATCCTCCTTATCTGAGAACTTGTCCTATCTGTTTTCAGGACTGTCTCATTCCAACTAGTCTTCTCTTTATGCCAGAAACTGAAAATATAAATTGTCAGGTTTGCCTGTCTAAAACCAAAGGTATAGTGCTTCTGTGGACACAGTATTTTGTTGATGAGTAAACTTTTATGACTGTAACTCTTTAATAATTAAGTGTAGTCTCCTGTGTCCTTATATCAAACAGATCTCAGAAAGAAAACTTAGTTATTATGAAAATTTTAAATATAATAAGATGGTAGCATCATCCACAATTTTTTTCCTCCTATTTGCTATTAGAAAACCTGCTTTCAAGCATTTAACTTTGCCAAACATGAAATGTGTCAGCTAAAGTTTTCCATTCTCAAAACCACAAGCAGTCAAACATTTCTGAGGAGCCCAGGGGAAAAAAAAATCTTTTTTAACATATTCAAAAATTGTAGTGAATTTCCATTTAAAAAGTTCTAGTGCCTGTGTGGTAGGGCAGATTCTCTCACACCCTGAGGGAAAAGGGGGTTAGCAAATTCCTGGGCTACCAAGGAGCTGCACATATCCAAGCCCTGAACAGATGAAAGTCTTTATTCAGCATGGATTGATGATGTTGTGGTCACGGCCAAAACACCCCGAAGGGGTTTTCTGTCCAGCAGAAATCCTTGATGAAAGTAACCAGAAAACACCAGAGAGCTGAGTCTCACTTTAAGAGAGATAACACATTAGATTTGGAAGAAGAGCTCCTCCTGCAGAGATCAAACTAGCCCAAGATTAAGAGGGGTTTTGGGGATACGCACTGACTGACTGGGGACTGACAATAGTTATTCCTAGAAGGTAGAAGATCCAGAAGATGGAAGCCTTTCCCTTTTATTTCAGTCTCATGGAGATTGTGACACCCTCCATGCTTGCACCAAGGATTCAGAGTTCTGAGTCTGTCCTCTGCCTTAAAAATGTTATTCTCCTGTTTAAAAAATGTGGCACTTTTAAAAACAAACAAACAAACAAACAAAATTGTAATAATTATGGTTCACACCTCCTCAGCAGATGTTTCAAAATCTCCGAAGAGTCAGTCACTACTAAGCAAGTTGCAACCCAGGGCTCAGGAACTCCTTTCTTGCAAATACAGCTGTGGGCCATGTTATTTTTCTATATTTGAATAGTGATGCTTGGTGTGGATTCCAGACCATACAGATGAGAAAGTTAGCTAAATGAAGTTTGAAGAAGGTTGTCCTCAGTATCTCTGTGGTGGAGGTAAAAATTCCAATCTTACTGATAATTCATGAGTGTACTATGTGCAGCCACAGCATAGAAGATGATCTCTTGGATAATCTGATTTTGAACTGAAAAAGTATTCAGGTTGGTTATTACACATTTGCTTTGATCATGCCAGGCCCAATTCTGATATTCAGACTCCTGCTGAGAATGATCTAACTTACTACACTCCTATAGTTACTCATGAGACCAGTGTTGTGGAGAATATCTGAATATGATACATAGTCACAGTATATGATTTTTCTTATCAAAAAGCAACTAAAGCATTTTTAAAATAAAATTTGTTATAGAAATTAAACAATATCTAGAAATACCTTGATTTCCTTATACTAAATATTATACGTATAAATTGGGGATGCCTATTAAATACAACATTCTTTACAGTACTGAAAGGGATCTGGCCATACTGATTGTTGTTAAAGTGGTGGTAGGAATTCCATTTTTTCCTTTTTTTTTTTTTTTTTTGTTTTAATAAGCTGATTAATAAAGTTCAGTGATTCCGTTCCAGCAAATTTAACTAAAATGGCAGCATAATTTTGCAAGGAAAAAAAGAAAATCTGCCTCCACCAGGCATATATATGATCTCTACTCTGATCTAGAGTCCATGAACACTTATAATGCCTAGTTTTAAAAAACAGGTGCCTAATAAATCTTTTCTAAGATCAAAACAAGTAAACTAAGAAGAATACAAGAAATGAACATTTTTTTCCCCTAACTTTATTTTCATATTACTTAAAAACTTTGAAAATATTTAAACAGGTATTAAGTGTCAGAAATAGATTCTTTGCATTTAAAGCTGTTTTAATAAACCAGACTGTAGCAACAAGGTAACATTTTAAAGATAAGATCTTTCTCACATATTCTCTAAGAAACTCACAGAATGTAGTATAATGGGTAAACCAGTAAAATTCTGCCTTCAAACAACATCCATGCTGATTACAGTAACCCCAAAGGAGTATAACAGAAGGACACTGTTGGCATTTCAGAAAGACATACAATTCTTCTCTCTTTCAGATTAATTTAAATATTTGTTCACAGGCAGTCGTAGCTTTAATAAGGGAACAGTTGTTATTTTAACTGCTTTTTCAATCTAAAGTGGTCCCAGTCTAGCAAAGCACTACAGAATACACATAAATATAAGCACCCAAGAAGTCCTCTGAAAGCCACTTCTGTGGTGATTTGATCAAATGAAGTCAGAATGAGTAGTCTTTCTTTTCTTGATCTTTTACCCTTATTTTTGCAATAAAGATAACAGATTTTACAATAGAAAAACTTTGAGAACATCTTGAAGAACTTGCAGAAAACAAAGTCAGAAGAAAAATGAGTTTAAAAGGGAATATTATGCTGCTTGCTATGGCCAGTTACCAGTCTCTTTTCTCTCAGCAAGTCGTTATTCTCTGAGCACCAGGGCCAAAGCTCCACAGGCTGGCAAATATCAGGGTAGAAACAATTGGAGTTTGCCATCCAAGGTGGCTGTGGTGAGCTGCAGTTCAAAAGAAAAGAACATACGGCTTTAATAAAGATCTTTCCAGTGAGTGAAGTTTGGTTTAGGTCAACAAACAGAATGAAGATCATTAAGAAGATGTTTAAATTACTTTTATGTTAAGAGGTCCAGGATTCATTTCAAAAAAGAAACTACTTAACCTATAGACTCTTCTCAACCAAGCTAATCTGAAAATTCCATTTTACTTAGATTTTTCTTTTCCAACTATTTTCAAATTTGTGTCAACATCCACTAACACATCAACAGTCTGCAAAACTGAAGCATATGTTTAAACCACATAGAAAGTCAAACAGACTTCACTGTGTATGACTTGAGAAGGGAACATGGAAGAAATAAGAAAGAGCTGCAATAAATGAAGATGGAAAATACTAAGAATTAAATCAGGCTTACCAACAAATGCAGTTTTCTGATTTTTATTGGTGTTAAATGTAGTATAAGAATTTCCTTTGTAAAATGTTGTTGAAAGTATGTTGAAAAAGGCCACAAACCTTTATGGAAGTGGCAAGTTTTAAGACATGCATAAAGAGCCTTCAATTTAATTAGCTTTTTTTCATAAGGCTGTACTTGTTTTGGCTGGGATGAAGTTAATTTTCATCATAGTAGCTAATATGGGGATATGTTTTGGATTTGTGCTGGAAACAGTGTTGATAACACCAGGATGTTTTAGTTGTTGCTGAGCAGTTCTCATACAGCATCAAGGCCTTTTCTGGTTCTCACACCAGCACACCAGCAAGTAGTACAAGAAGTTGTGAGGAGACACAGTTGGTACAGATGACCCCAACTGACCAAAGGGATATTCTCTACCATGTCATGCTAAGCAATAAAACTAGGGAGAAGGTTGGTGGGGTGGCTGCTGCTCAGGGACTGGCTGGGCATTGATCAGTTGGTAGTGATCAACTGTTTCCATTTGCATCACTTGTCTTTCTTGGGTTTTATTTCTCTCTGTTATTTTCCTTTTCATGACTACATGATTATTATTATTATTATTATTATTGTTGTTATTATTATTATTATTATTATTATTATTATTATTATTATTATTATTATTATTATTATTATTATTGTTGTTGTTGTTGTTGAAATTTTATTTGAATTATTAAACTGTTCTTAACTCAATGAATGATTTTTCTTACCTTTACCCTTCCAATTCTCTTCCTCCATCCTGCTGGGGAGAGGAGTGAGTGAGCTGCTCTGTGGTGCTTTGTTTGCTGTCTGGGGTTAAACCATGACACAGGCTTACAAAATCTTAATTACAAAGTAAGAGCAAATACTATTTTCTGCAATTACTTCTACAAACAAGCACTTGAAAGCCTGCTGTAGCTCAGAAAGTGATGATCTGCAAATGGCACTTTTTATTCAAATTGTTTACTCTTTGCATATTAGGATTTACAGTTGTTCATACCAGTGAAAAAAATCTGAAGAGCTGGAATCAAAAATGTGTCTCATGCTCTAATCAGGTCATCTGGTTAACTTTTCTCATCCTCATTTTTCTTGATCTGGTCTTTGTTTGATGTGTTTACTAATTTGTTTTCTTCCTTTGGATAAAGTGTCTCTGTGGTCAATAAATTATCTTCTTGGCTTTGTATTCCCTTCTTCAGCATCTCCAATGACAAATTCTTTTAATCTCTCACAACTGTTATCTCCCAAGACAGTGACTTTTGTTCTCTTGTATTCTTCCTTCTCACTCTCACTTACATAATCTTAAAGTATAGACTACTTAGAACTGTTCAATCTAATACCTCCAACTGTATTTTTACAGCTATCTAAGACTATCACATCTTTCCAAAGACTTCTACTAGCTCCTTCTCTACCTCTGTAACTTATTATTGGAAAGAGGATATATCTATATCTAAGTGATATAACCTTTCTAGGTTTCTGTACCCATGTATCTTGTGGGGAAAAAAAAATGCTTTTATTATTATTTCATCTTATCACAAAAGAACTGACTAGCCTGAGAAATCAGAGATGGATTCTATTCTAAGTCTCATTATTACAGGAGATAATATAGAAACCTTGTTAAGTTTTTAATTGAAAATAAAATAATTGTAAACAAAATGAATTTTTATAAAACCCAAGGAGGTCATCTGGTCCATCTTCCTCCCCTAGGTGCAACCACTGAAAACAGTAGAAGATCATAGCTATGACTTTGTCTGGCTAAATCTTGAAAAACTACAAGAAAAGTGTTGCACTACCCTCCTAGTGTTGTTTACTTTTTCCTACTGTCCAACCTGAACCTCAAAAACTGCAATGCGTGGTCAATCCCTCTTCTTATATCCTTTGACAGTACTGAAACAGTGCTTGGTTTTCACCTGCTAAATGTAAATATATTCCCTACACTGCTATTATTTGCTTCTCCCAGAGTCCTTCTGCTTTTATTATCCATTAAAGATGGTATTTCTACTCCATCTAATCACCTTCCACACCTTTGACAACACTAAGCCACAGAATCATTGAAATGTTGGCAGAACTAAAGATGCCCACCTTCTGGCTTTCAGATCTCTCCTTGTCAGTCATGTGCTCTAAACCACTGATTGTCTCACAAGCCTTCCTTCTTCCCTTTCCCTTTCTCCTGCCTTTTCAATCTACTTTCCTTGGCAGTAGATAAAAGAGTCTGCCCTTTGATTGCATCTTTCTTCTGAGAAGATACACTCGGTATCTTCCAGAAAACATAGAAATTTTAGCTAATAGTACAATAGTAATACAGTAACAGTACAAAGTTAATTGCAATCTGTATCCACACAGATCAAAGAGATACTAAAAATCTAACCTGTAAGACTCTTGAAATTCTTGAATTATTACACTTAAGAGCTATCAAAATTGATGAATAAAGAATCAGTTCAGCTATATTTAGAATCTGCAGAAATTTGAATATTTTAAAGAAAAAAAGAACATTTAACTTATGCCAATATTACATTTCCAAAAAGAGCAAGTAAGTTACTTCATTCAAAGCCCACAGGTCCCAAACATGCTACTCCAAAATTGCATTTTAAATTATGTTTGAAATCTCTATGGTAGTTAAGTCAACATACTACTTAAAATTTTAAGAAATAATTCTGCCTTATTATTGCATATTCAAATGTTGGCATCAGTTCTGTGAATAATTTGAAACTTATGTAAAGGTTTCCGATGGGACTAGCACTAGAACATTATGGAATATTAGAAGGTGTATGAGAACATGGACTATTTTTCATACTGATGGATATATGAGTAGTGAAGAAAAGACCTTGAGTAGGGCAGAGAAGCAGGTGTAGGTTTTGTGCATTTTAGAGCTTTTTACAGAAACCTCAAGGTTTAGAAAACACCTATGACATCTGGTGCCAGAACAGGGGGAGAACTAATTCTCTAACACAGCTGTCCTCTATTTGACAGGCTGCAGAAGATATAAAAGTTTACTGAAATAAGGTTAAAACAGTGACATGCACTGTTTGAAGGCTGTCAGTTAATTAACAGAATGAATTTCAAGACATTGCCTAAGGAATTTCCTTTTATAATAACACAGTATATATTTTTTTTATAATTATTTTGGAGGTTGGGAAATACTCTTCCGTAGTGATGCCACATAAAAAAATGTGCTCTAAATGACAGACCTGGAGCTTTTTAAGCCACAAACATCAAACAGTTGGCTTTGTATAGAAATGCATATAACAAATATTTTGTTTTAATATTTCATACAACATGCATATGTGTATACAGGGTAAGCTTCAAGACATACTGTACTTCAGGAAATAGTAGGAATCAAAGAGAATCCAGCTAGTTTCACATTACAGGCACATAATGACTCTGGGGGTTTTTTTAGTTAGTATAAATATATAAGTATGCATAATATGCAAGTAAAGATAAAAATCTTGAAAAGGTCCACTAGCTGCACAGCAAAAAGTATCATCTCGACAAAAATCCAGTATCTCAGCAGACCAGATGGGGATATAGTTTTTAGGGGTTTACTATTTTTAGTTTTCATTATTCAAACTACTCTTTGAAAATAAGAAGGTACATGTAGAACCAAAACTAACAGAAGCAGACGATGTGGACCAATATGTCTCTGTAAAGTCATCCTTCAAGCTTCAAAAAGATAAAGAATTCTTCAGGTCAAGCTCTTATATACAATTGATAGGAATAGCTGCCACAAATTGTATTTTCAAAGTAGCAATCACTGTTCAGGGAAGCATCTATTTATGGTTTGGCTAGTCAATTTTATTGTTCCCTTCATTTTCTTATGTGGCATATATTGATATGATACAAAAAAAGTCATCAAAGCAGAAATGAACATATAACCTATTGAGTTGTTATTTAGTAATACTTGCATATGAGACTGAAGAAATATTTACATATACATAACCTAAATGTTATTGAAGCACCAACTGCAACTCCAACTTTTGCACCAGAGCCTGTGACTGCTGATTGGCCACTGTGGAAGTTTAGAGCCTTTCTGCATTCCATCATGTACTTGAGAGGTAAAATAAATGCACCAAACTAGATGAATACACACATTTTCTAATTTAACTTACATTTTTTTACATCTGCTTTTGAATGTCCTAGTGGCATTTTTACATTATAGAGTTTAGTTCAAGAACATCTTTTAAACACTGTCTGAACTCATATTCAACTTGTTACAGTCTTGCCATTGCCTGTGCTTCAATACACCAAAACCTAACTTAACAAGAAATATATGCTTTTCAAAGGAAATGCTAATTAATAACACAGCTATCAAACAGCATGCACAGTAAGATCAGGGTTTAAAGTAATCTCCCGTAGTCTTCTGGTCTATTAAATTAGCATGTCTTGAAACTGGTCATATGGAACTGCTTCCAGACCACCGCAGTTATTGTGCTACTCTGTAATAAACAGTAATCTATGGTCAAATTTAATAAATAAATAAAATTGCCTATTATTTTTTCACTCAGGTGATTTTGTATAACTAATTTACATACCAAAATCAATATCTATAAAAGCTACTCAAAACCAGAATAGATTTTTCATAG